GGATAGCTGGGGCGACGAGCCTTGTGATGACGAGAGTGATGTGGCAGAAGTGAGAGAGGAGGGACGTCATGAGGCCAGCGCCGAGGCGTGATCCGGCATTGAAGACTGTACCATATTCCGCAGTATGCCCTGATTCTAGGCGGATACTAACGTTTGTAGCTCGTGCGGACAAGATACTAGAAGCTTATTGTATTTAATGACCCCAATAGTGATATGCCGTCAGGAACGGTGGCACATGAATACATGCATTTCGAAGCGATAATACAACGCTACACAGTGGCGATCCCAAAAGGCAGCCTCTGGCATACTCTGAATCCACTGGGATATTTTCACACAAAATCCACACCATGAGTTCGGGCGCATCTCGTCGGTACTGTCAACATAATCAGCTGTAGGACGTCTAGCGCTCTGAGATATCGCTCACAGAATCGGTCTAGTAGCATTCTCGATTACGCTGGGCGACGTATTCCGCGCACGCCGTCCGGGCCTGGCCATACTCGCAGGACCCCGAGGGCATATGGGTGCTCGGTACGCTGGGATGGTCCACATTGAATCTCAGTGAACACACGGGAAGATAGCCAGAGGTATGTTGCACTGAAGCACGTGGCTTTGATGGCATCAAACGTGGATATATAAAAAGCAACATTCGGAATTGTCGGAAGTAGAACCAAAAGGGACTCAGAGATAGTACTCCCAGTCGATTAGAATTACCAGCGCGAAGTCAGAACTGTTTTGTCTACAGAAGACACCGAGCTCCCGATTCTCGCTGCACCGGCACCCACACAGGTGTTACGCCAACGCCTCACGCGAGCACGGATCGTGCAGCGCTGTCAGGTAGTTAAGCGTGACTTGGGCTTCCTGCCACGCGAATGACAGGCCCCGTATAAGCGTGCAACTGGCGCAGTCTATAAGAGGAGCACACGTACCTGGAGCGCCTCTGCCGTCGAGCATTTGCTCAGTCCTGAGCTCTGCTTGGGACGAACAGCGTCAGGACACGTCCACGGAAGCATAGTCAGAGCGCACGCACGTCCTCGCCCCACACATATGGGTCACGCGGCGAAGGGATAGGAGTAGTTATGATTGTGCCGCAAAATGCTGGTGACATAGAATATTTCTTGAGCAGTTCTTATACGCGACTTGGGCCTGTGCCATCAGGTGATGCTCTTCCACCATGTCCAGAAATCTCCGAGAGACGAGCGAGTCAACCACTCATGCTTGCCTAACACCGTCGGCCAAGAAAGTCGAGGCCATCTGCGGAGAATCTACGGAGTCGCTATCGCCGGTGAGTGTCTATGATAAACTGGTTAGTTGGTCGTCTGTCATTCCGAAAACGAACAAGCGAGTCAACAATTTACCGCTTGCCTCGATATTGAAACTCTTAGCGGAGTCAGACCTTATCCAACGTAAGTATAAAAGGAAGCTACCATTTATAAAGACGTCGTGCAGTAGGTGAGTGTACGGTCCCAGCCGAGGATGAGACCTGTGAGAGTGAGCCCAGGCCCCAAAGCGGTCTCCCGGGCGACTTCAAATCACGTGCACCCAGGACCCCGATCGATTGCAAACGCCACGACGCTACCGAAAATCTTTACATTCCCGCTCTCAAGCTTCCAGCCGCATCTTTCCAGATCTTTCCCTCTCCCTTCATGTACCTGACTACGACGAGAGTCACTGCCTTCCTTCACGACGATACTGATGACAATGACAAGCCAGTGAAGTTATCTCAGCTACGAGCTCCAACTCACACTTAGCTGAAGGCTAATCGTCCCGAGGTACGCAACAAAGAATCGATAGACAAGGGCTGACTACTTTACACATTTCAAGACAAGTTCAGAACTACTTCTCTGCGCTATGTCGGATAAGAGACCACGGGTCGCTACATCATGATGAAGCCCAGCTGCATCCTGGGGTTCTGCATTGTTGCCGGCTGGTTTGTGACGACTGGAGGCTGATGTGCGACGATCGGAGGCAACACGATGTCGTACGGCGGGTTAGGGAAACCAGCGAGTACCTGGATGATTGGTGGGAGGTGTATAGCGGCGGGCGGAGGCTGGTGTGCAACGATCGGAGGCAGCACGATGTTGTACGGTGGGTTAGGAAGACCAGCGAGTACCTGAGCAATTGGCGGGAGGTAAGTAGGCGCGGGCGGAGCTGGTGCGGCGGGCGGAGGCGGTATGACGACGAACGCACCTTGGGCCGGCTGCGCAGCCGGCGCGACGGCGGCGGGCATCGTCGCAGCGACAGGCGCGGCTTGCGCAGGGGCAGGCGGAGCAGCGACCGCGGCTGACGCAGCTGTCGGGACATTGGCAGCATCTGCCGCGTGGACTCGGTCACGATTCCCCACATGGCGAGATGGATGGCAGAAGGACGGGCGGAGTGGGCTGCGCCTGTTGCGCTTAGGCCTGGGACCCTCATGGTCACGGTCGTCATCGTCGTACTCGCTGGGGCCGGCGGCAATGTTCTCCTTGTTCGCAGCGCGCTTCTTCCGAAGCTCTTCATCCTCTTCCTCTTCCTTGACCTCCTCGACCTCCAGTGCTCTCTTCTTCCCCCTCTGGTTCCCCGTCTTGATGGCGCCCTGGTAGCCGCTTATGGTGAGTGGGGCTGCGACGTGGTCGGCGCATCCCGAAGGTGCGTCGTGTTGGAGGTGGTTGTTGCGAGACAAGGTGCCTTGTCTGGCTGTATTCGCTGTTTGTCGCTTCGACGCGAACTGGCCAGCGGTGGATACCGCTGTACGAGTCCCTCGTCGAACATTGTCGTCTCTGGGTGCTTGGCCGCTGTATTTGGGGACATGCGATGGCTGTCTAAGACCCGAGCGAGCCAGAGCTACGCAGGAGGTGTCAATATTTATCCAAATTGAACATCAGATAAGCAGAGCTCACCTCGGTTTTGCAGGAAAATTGGCGGAGGACTTACAACGCGATATTCACGATGCTCGAGCAGCGGCGAGACATGTCTGCGAACGGGCGGAAGTTGACCTTGCGCGTCGTCACTGTCAACGTCGCCGCCGGTAGCCACTGTCGTCGCTGGATTGTCCATCTTCCTCAACGGCGGACTCGGTAGCGTAGCCATCGCAGTCGTTCGCGGCGCCGAACAGCTCGTCATCCAGTCGGTCCCGCTCCCCCTCTTCCCCTGCG